GTAGAGATACTGCTTGCAGCCAATGATGCATGAAATTTTTTGTATAAGATGATGTTATGGGGTAGGACTGGATAAGTCTGACTTCTTCCTACTCCATTCAAACATGTACTAGGTATAAGCAAACTGATTCTGAATCAGCATTGGTTGGATTTGTATAATTATGTGTGTGTTGATGTCGTTTGTTCTGCATGTTTGAAAGAATAAATCAAATCAAATCAAATCATTCAGTTAAGGTGTTTTTTCCCCATTTAAAAAAATCTTATTTTGAATCTAAAGCACTGTACATGATGCAGCTTTAATGTGCAGTATAATAACAGAAGCCTGTACATCATTCATTTACAGATTTGTATTTTCAAATATTTTATACTGTACAGCACATATGCGTGCGGTGCTGTCTGGAGTTACCACTCTGATCCTCTACTATCTGCCCATGAACTGTTTCCTGTAGCGTCCGTAAGCAGCAGTGCTGATGGTGACTTTGACAACAGCTGATCCTTCATCTGCGTTCACCTGCACGTCTTGAACGGTGGCCTCCTTGTACAGCCAACTGAGGATGAAGATGCACATTTACTATTCACGGATGCTGTTCATCTAAACATATGAAAACACCGTGAGGAACAGCTCTTACCTCAGCTGAGGAGTGCTGAGGTTAACCTTGAGGTCTAAAATGTGTTTTTCTGTGGAGGTTAAAATCTTTTCCTCCACCACTCTCCTCAGCTCATCTAGGCCTCGCTCTTCTAAGGCAGATATGGGCAGTGCGTTGTGCTCTGTGGACTCGTAACTTAAAAGGAACAACAGGAAATGCTTTACTGCAGCCGATCAATCTCACAACACATATATGACAGGTCAGCAACATGAAGGGCATGAATACTAACATCCCTATGAGTGCAGCATGTCTGCAAATCCACTGCACATTATTTGATAACCGGATTTTTAAAATTTTTATTTTTTTTGGTGCAAAGATTTCGAATACGAAATCAACCCATCATTCAGTCTTCCTACTGGGTCATATAGATGGTCAACAGTTGTCTGTTCACAAACAGGGACAACAGGGTTTTTGCTCTTACTTGTCAAGAAGGTCAATTTTATTGTGGACTTCTATCATGGAGTTCATCAGGCCATCTGGGATTTGCAGATTCTTCAGGACATTCATGACATTGGCCTTCTGATTCACCGTCTCTGGATGACTGATGTCACGGACGTGAACCAACAGATCCTTGAGGAGTGAGAAAGGCCGGCGCCAAGTCAACACACTCTGCTTTGACAGAGCACAGACATCCTTCATGTGAGCATCAAGTACGTACAGAGTGTTTGATGTCCTCCAGGGTGGAAGAGAAGGAGTCGATGAGCTGATGGGGCAGCTGGGACAGGAAGCCGATGGTGTCCACGTACAGAACGGTCATGCGACTGGGCAGCTGGCCAGCATGGACGGTGACATCCAGGGTGGCAAAAAGCTGGTTCCTAGGCTGGAGACCACTGTCACCTGTCAGTGCTTTGATCAGGGTGGTTTTTCCTGAGCAGACAATGGAGTAAAAATCATCCAACTGAAGACCTGCACGGTGCACAGCAGCAGAACAATATGCTGTCTCTCACCGCAGTTTGTATACCCCAACACAGAGACAATGGGGAACTCTTTGTGTTTACGCTGGGATCGCAGAAGGTGCCTCTTTTTCTTGAGTTTGTCCAATGCTGAACGGATCTTCATCTCCCGCTCCTTCAGCAGCCTCTGCTGGACCTCGTACAGTGTCTCACCTGGAAGGACCAATCACCAGATTTCTCCAGCCAAGCAGCACCAAGACTAACTTTCAGGCAAATGTGTTTGACTCTGCTGCAGCAGTGTTACAGTACCTGAACCTCCGATGTATCTGGATCCTCCACCCTGCTGATCTAAGTTTGCCATTTCATTCCTGAGACGAGATCTGCCAGTGATATATCGAAAGCGGTTATTTAATCCAACCGCTAAGGAATCGAGAAGCCTGATTAAAACGCTTTAACACCCCACTAGGGAACAGCACAGTAAAAAAGTTACCTTAACAAGGGGATCTCTGCCAGAGAGATCTGTAACTTGGCCTCTTTAGTTCTGGCATTGCAGCGGAAAATGTGGAGGACCACTGAGTATCTGTCCAAGACTTTGAACCCCCAGGCTTCCTCAAACTCCCTCTGTACGAGTAAGAAAGAGAACCGTTAGTGCATGAAACCTCTCTACAGTATGTGCAGCCAGAAACCAATATTCTGACAATCTCACCTCAGACAAAGCAGACAGATGCTCAACATTCACAAACACAGCAGTGATTCCAGCAGTTTGTCGAATTTTCTCTGAGGGACAAAGGCACAGTTATATTCTGACACCTGTTGGCTTGGTGCATATATCTGTTGACACTAAAGGTGGATAATACCTGTAAGGGACTCGAAGTTGCCTTTGCCAAATATCCTCTTCTTCTCTGGCGTTTTAGTGGAGAGGATGATCTTGTCCACCACTCTCCAGTTGTCTAAACTGTTCACCAGCCCCACGGCCTCTGCCATCATCAGCTCAGCTAGAAAACAAACAACTGAGGGTAAAAGAAACTCTTCGTTATGATCCACACGCTCACATCTGCATGTTTGTCTTATCACCTGTGGTCAGATGCTGTTTGTTTCTTCCCCACTTCACATCAGGGTGAACGATGAAGACCCGTTGGCGACCGTCCCCGATGCCTTCAGGAATCTGCTGCTGGAACAGCTCATCCACCTCACTGTCCTCCATAAAATCTTCATCTTCCTCCTCCTCTGTAAGTCCTGTCTGCTGGCCATTGGTAAAGTTACCCTTGCTCTTCAGCGTGCATGCAGAGGGCGCAAAGCACCTGAGCTGCAGGACAGACGTGCTTCTCGGCCAGTGCTGGTTCGCTGCAGCTACGCGGGGAGGAGTGTGGAGAAGTCTACGCGTCACTGGGGCTGCTCTCTGGCAGCTCCGTGTGCAGGGTCTCTGCAGGAGTGGAACCCATGAATGAATCCTCCTCAGTGCTGCCATGTTGTCTCAGGAAGATCCCTTACAGGTGCAATCGGGACTGTAGTTAAATGTCAATCACCCTGATCAGACAGTGTAAAGCTTCAAACTACTTGCGCAGAACCTCCATGTCGCCACCAGGCCTGTGGACGGGTTCTTCTTCTTCTTCCTGTTTACTGAAGAATCTCAACAATCTCGAGAGCTCACGCTGCCACCTACTGGTGAGAATAGTTTTTGCACTTGACTAAATTGAATTTCATATTTAATGAGCTGATAAAAACAGAAGACATGAGATTAAAGGACTTTTTGGGTCTGTGAGTATAACGTAGTCCAGTACAACACTACCCTTAACTATGGCCCTGATAATAAACATATAATTCAATTTATACATTTATGACAATTTCACCAAAGCACAAACATTTTGAGCTTCATAAACACAGAAGTTAAGGCAGAGGTGTTGCATTGAATTGGATACAATTGCACAGGTGTACCTAATAAAGTGACTAGTCAGTAGTACGTCACACATAGTGGTCTATGTTAACATTGGACTATTCATTCTACGTTTAATGAATAGCCTATAACATATCTGATGCTCTTGTCACACAATCCAAATAATGTTTGTTTTATAGACATTTAACAAACAAGTGAACCTGAGGCAGGAAGGGAAAGTGTGGATGAAGATGTGTGTGCAGGGACCTCCAGACATCACTGCACAATACAATTTCAAAGTAATTGGAGAATTTATATGTTTTATTGATAGACAAATCAAACTGGAGCTGCTTGACAGCCAAATTAGTTATTATTGTAAAATGCAGAAGAATGCAAAGAAATGTGCAATACAGGACCAGACCTTTACACCATGGAAACATGTTGATAATGTTCTTAATGTACTGTATGTTGAAGTAAATATTTTCATACAGATTCATATCTCTACATTTTTACCTTTAGCAATAGTTGTGATTTGAGTAATGAGGGACTTTGCCCCAGTAGAGCTTTATGTCTAGCAATGCCGCTGAGGCGGGGTCCACCCTGGACAGGTCACCATTCTATCACAGGGCTGACACTTAAGAGAGAGACAACCACACACACCCACACTCACTCCTGCGGGCACTTTAGAGTTGTCAGTCAATCAAAGCTGCATGTCTTTGGACTGTGGGAGGAAGCCGGAGTACAATAGGTTTACAATAGGTTACTCTGAGTTCTGTTCTACATGTATTTGATGGTTGAACCTCTCTCAGGTGTGTGTCAACATCACAGCTTGTGGGTGTGTACACTACCCAAAAACAAGCCAGACAGGTCGGACTCGACTCCATATGGCTCGTAACAGGATCTCCGTTACTGGAAACTCTGAAGTCCACAGGTTTGTTTTTTAGTTAATTCCGCCTCGGTATTGATTCATTTTTAAATTCTTCGGCGACACCCAACTTTTGAGTATTTCAATGAGAAGACGAGACGGACCAGGTGTGGCACAACAGGCTGCGACATGACTGATAATTCCTTCAGAGTGAAGCAAAGTGTGCGTATGAGTGAGAGTTATTTAAAAGAGCGAGCAGGAGGCAGGACGAGGGATTTACACAGCTAAACGAGTTAATATTGGACCGGTCTGTTTTTTAAACCCTAAAGTACCTTTGAACTTTTTTGCGTCTTGCGTGCGTAAACGTGTCCTCAAAGGGAAATGCTGGGGACGCTGTGGCGCACAGGACTTCTGTTCAGTTTCATCAGATTCTGCACCTGTCTGGGTAAGATGAATGGTGATGCAGGCTACACACTGAGATAACTAGCTACACTTTAACAAACGAGTTCCCTGTCTCTTCTTTCTCTACAGAGGAAAAATGTGTGCTTGGCATTGTTGGACATCCCACCTCACTGCCCTGCTTTTACCCTGAACTGTTAACATTTGCGAATGTTTCCATTGAGTGGAGGAGGGACGGTGAAGTGGTGCTCAGATCAGGGCTGAAAGCGGATGGAAATTTGACGCAGTGGAGTATCAACAATGCCACCATCTCAGCTGACGCTCTGCTGACTGGAAACTTGTCTTTGGAGATTCCCACAGCTGATCCCAAAGAAGACAACATGTTTTATAGTCTGTTCATTATTTCAGAGAAGAATGAAAGTACTCCGCTGTGCACTAAGTGTCTCAGGATAGCAGGTCAGTGTGAAACACACAGGAAGTAATGAGAGGGGTGTATCTATGAACTAAATGTGTTTGATGGCTGTTTGCAGCCCGTTTCAGCTCCCCATTGCTGCAGCGAGTAGAAGCAGAACAGGGGACCGAGACAGCCTTTGTGTGCCACTCCAGTGGTGGTTTTCCTGAACCTGCAGTTTATTGGCTGATCGATGACACCGAGGAGCCCCCCGAAGGCTCAGTGAGGACCCTGGCAGTATCACACCCAGACTCCCATCTCTACAACATCACAAGCCACCTGACGGCCAGCATTTCCAAAGACTCCAGCGTGTCATGCATCATAGACAACAAGTTCATGAACGAAACCTTGACGTCGATGAGCTGTGAGTGACCGATCGCTGCTCATTCTGTTGGTAGACCTCAAATACAGTAGGTCAGCTTGTTCGCTAATTTCTGGCTCTTGCTGGTGCTCAGATGGACTGCGGAGCAGCAAGGTGGTGAGTCGAGCATCAGAGGCCATGTGGATCTTCAGCACAGTTCTCTGTGTGTTGGTTGGGGTGTTGGTGATTGTGGGAGTGGTCTATCAGATCCACCAGGATAGGATGAGTAAAAGGAAGAAGTACCAAGACCCAGACAGAGGTAGGCATCTTTCTAACAACAATACAGGACAGATCAGCTGTCACAGTGGCTGCTGCCCTGCTGTCTCTTGGGCTGAAACTTCAAGGCAAGACTTCTCTTTAGACTCTTTTCATCTCCTCAGTTTGTTTTGTTGTTCTTGTTGCTTTGCTTTTCCACTTTATGGTTTATTTCAAACATAAACCTTTAGCACACATTCTTTTTACCTCTAAGCAAACTGTTTAATAAAAATACATTGTGCATGTCCATACATGCCACATGCTTGAGCATGTCAGCCTGAAGACAAACAGTGCAGCCGGTTTATCCCTGTTGTGATTTGGGTAGATCATTGGGTAGATTTACAGTTTAAACTCAAGGACGTCTGGAGAAAGTAAGAAGTTTTCAAAGAGTCTAATTTTCAAACATTTTCAGGTCTATTGAAGTGAAAGAAAGCAGGAAGGGATACGCCAAGGATGGCTCCTTTTACATACGTTTTTCACTGACTTGTAGACACATCTGTGCTCTTCCTGACAGTAGAACTGTGGAAGCAAATGGATTCACAGAAGATGCACAGTGAGCTGCAGAGTGACACGAGTGCCAACCAACTGCCACATTGACTCCTATGTAAACAGTATTGGGCACGTGGTCATAATGTTATGGCTGATCGGTGTATATGTAATTATGATGCCTTGTTATGGATATGAATTACAGGCAGTTCAACCATATTCGTTCTTTCACTCCCTGAAGAGGTGAGATTTTCAGGTAATATACAAGGAAAAAAAGTAAAAATGGAGAAAACTGACAGAGTTTACACTATTCTGTGTAAACACTGGATCTGATAACCCTTCATTTTTTTGGAGTCCATTAGCAGGGCTCTGCTCCTAGGTTGGAAACCACTGCCTTGAGCTTTAGTAATGGACTAGAAACTGCAAAATAACAAGTGCCGTACTTTCCATCCTTAATTCACCCCATAGCGATCACTGTTCTGTAAAGCATAATTTCAACAAACTATACAAAACTCTGCTCACACTTGGTGTGACATCACTGAGCAAAATAAAGATACCGATGTGGTTTTTCTTGTATAAATTTTGCAAAAGTGTAACAAGTACTTTTGTGATCACTGAAGACCTTGTTCTATCACTCTACTTGTCTTTAGGGTACAGGAGACGACGTCTGCATGTGGAGGAAACAGATATGAAGACTGAGCCACCGGAGTCTGATCTGTAAAGTCTGGACTCAGTGAACACTCATTAACTGATCTGTAAACAGCTATTTGTTGTCACCACTGGGTTTACCACTTACATATTTAATATGAGTGGTGGGGTTTTGATATACTCAGTTGTGATTTTACCATTTCACTTTGTGAGACACTAATGGTTGTATGTTCCCACAGGGAGGGGCTGTTGTGTGGCACAAGTTAATAAAGATTCCCAAACCCACGCCTGGGGCAGTTTGATTTCACCTCATGGTTCTGTTAATATCTTTCCACTATAACATAAAATATGCCAGTAAATAATGTTTTATGTTTTAAATCTCTGAAACTACAATTAACAATCTAGAGAAATTAATATGATCTCAGTAAGAACAGCTTGACCTTTTTGATACTGACATTAGAGATTTTCATTTACCAAACCATCTCTTTCCCAGAGAATTGAGTCACCAAATAACAATAACCAACAACAATAATGTGAAACAAATTAAAAGAGGTTCACAACTGGAACCTAGAAATGATAAATGCTCACCAAACTCTCACTGGTTTTCTACCAATTGGTTAGTTTCTGCACCAGATGTTACACAAGTAATCACAGTTTCATGCTTAAAAGTAAGTCGCAGTACTGAGCTCAAATCATGAGTCAATCAGTGACACAGTCCCAAATGATTCTCATTTCCACGGTTCCGAATCTTGTGCTGCAGCATTTGTGCTGTACCTTCACCTCTTGGTTCCTGAAGTCAGTATTCAGCTTTATCCTTCCTGCACAGATGTCACAGTGTAGAGGTCATTTCTACGCTGAGCTGTGATTGGGAGCTGCTGCCGGATGTCAGCCAAATACTGCAGGGGAGATGACGACAGATAAGAGAGGTTTAGTGGAGACCCCAAATATACAGAGTAATGGTAACAGCTGATGTAGCCTAGTACAACTCTGCATTATTAAATCTGAGGCAGACCGCTGTTTGTGCTGGTCATTTTTCAGTCTGTACTCTGATGTTGCCAAGCTGCATTACATTACACTGTCAGGTGTTCAGTTTATTTACTTCCTCCACTGTAGATAAAGAGGTATGTAGCCACACACTGTGGCCTACATACTTAATCAACAGCTGCTTTACACAGTCTCTATACAAAGTGATTATGACCATCTGACACAAACCCACTGTCCTACAGCAAAATGCAGATACTGTTATCGTGTCCAATCCCACAGTTACAAGCAGGAGTGTATGTTTTGTGTCACCCTCCACCCTCACAGCGCTGAGATGCATCGTTGCGCTCATTTTCCTCAGTCTGATCACAGTTGTCACAGACACCATGCACAACATGACCAAACAGCCTGAGCCCATCACAACCCAACCAAGAGTTGAGAGGGATCACTGCATTATCCACAAGCCGCATGATGCAGCAAGACGCCATGGTACTGGAGTGATTTCTGCACTCCAGCACTGGTGAGAACAGTGTGCAGAGCCACGCCAGCCACTGTTCCACTCACCGATATCAGCATAAATGACGGCCTCCTCTGCTCCAGCCTTGGAGACAACTTCTCCCCTGCAGCGACAGATTGCACACATCACACACCTGCAAAGCTCAACACCTAGACATATCCACAGACAGACTGTACAAGATGTGGTTTGTAATTACAATAAAACAGAAGCGTTGGGGATGAAGAGACATTACTGCTATTAGCAGTGCACTGTCAGCATTTACTCAGCCACTATTTAAGTAGCCAGCGAAGACAGTAGTTACTTACTATAGATGCTAATGCATATTTAATAATAAACTACTATTTTACTGTATTTCTCTACAAGATGAATACTAATACTTCAATGCTTTAGATCAACTTTCTCATAAATGTGGCATTTTAAATAAACTATGCACCCATCCTCCCTCTTCTCTACCTTCACTGTACTCTCACTTCCTTGCCTTGGCTGTGCTTAATAGCACACACTCCACCTTTCACTCACACACAGCTCACTGCTCTAACTTCCCTCTCTTCCTCTTTGCTGCTCATTACACAGAATCGCTCACATTATGAGCCGAGGAGACGGTACGTAAGACAATGTGTTTCTGTTTCTTACCATGGGTTTACAACACTGCTGTGACCCCAGGCGACATATGAAGCCGTTTCATCTCTGGCAGGTGACGCTGTGGCCACATACACCTGGTTATCAACAGCTCTGCATGGGAGACAGTGACAAGGTTACAGCCACTGATGATTTATGTCAAGTTGTACTAATTGTAGCCTGAAGATCTCTTGCCCTTCATACTGCTGCTGTAAGGCACCTTTTTGTTGAACTTACCAGCTGTATCTCAAGGTACCGGCTATTTAAAAATATTACACTTCATGTTTTCTTTTAAAATAGATGTATTATAAAAATTCATTGTAGATTAAAAACATTTTATGCTTGGTTATCTGTAGCCTCTGATAATTCTGTATCTGGTATTACTTTGATATACATTGCCTCTATACTCATTAAAATAAAGCTGAATGAGATAGAGATTATAGTGACTTCCTTATCTGATTAGCATATGTGTAAAGTAATAACTCATATGATATCTTAGAGGAAATAATGCCTCATTTATCTATCATTTCTCCTCTTCCACAGAAATTTCCTTTGTTACACTCCCGTCACATCCCATAATGTCATGTGGTCAGTCCACAGTTTGGAATATGTTGCTGCCTTATGAGTGAGCTGAGTTAACCCTTTCAGGAGATTCAAGATTTACTGTAATCAGTATTCTTCAAAAGCAAATATTCAGTGTGTTTTTCGGTAAATGGGTTGTGGACTGTGTCTGGGAGTCAGAGCCTGACCTTCCCCTCTGGAGGAGCTCCCAGTGGGCTGGACCGGTCGTCAAGTTGAAGGCTCCAGGGTAGACCAGCAGCTGACAGCCTGTAGATAAGAGGCCAGTCCAATCAACTATCCTACACACTATTAAAAACGCCATATAAACTGCTGCTTTGGCTACTTACCTTTTCTGGCATAGAGCTGTGCGAGCTCTGCAAACCTCATGTCGTAGCAAATCCCCACACCCACTTTGCAGAATGCTGGAGGAGGAAATACAGAGAAATCAGAGTTTGAGATGATGCTCATCCACCTGCAGGGAACAAAGCAGCAGTCAGGAGACATTACTCACGCGTTTCAAACATTGACAAACTGTTGCCTGGACTCAGTGACTCTGACTCCTGGAAGCGGATTTTTCCAGGAACATCAATGTCGAAGAGGTGAATCTTAACAAATTAAGAAAAAGACTATCATGTCCTACTGTAAAGTCATTAAGTTGTTTAAATGAACCGCAAACAGACAAATACTGTACTTGAGGCACACATACCTTCCTGTGTTTAAGAATCATGTCTCCATCAGGACCAAACACTGGACAGCTGTTGTACAACTTCCCACCGTCCTCTTCAGGGATAGATCCTATTGAACAAGCAAGCACATGGTTAATTCCTCACTGTGCAAAATGTGTAAAGACTTTCTTCTGTTGATTATTTAAGATCCTTCACATCACTTCCTCTGCACATCAGACTCCTTCATTAGCACCAAGTGAACCTAATCAGAGCCAATGAAGTACATGGAGGGAAGTGATACAAACAAACTGAGGAGTTGATCTGTTAACTGTGCTGCTGTTGTAGAAAGCCTGTTAACCTCTCTCACTCAAAGGCACTCCCACCAAAACCTGATTTGTATTCTGGTCACAATCTAATGGAGAAGGGAACAGTGGCATGTTCCATTTGAACAGTATTAACAGAAATTTTACATTTTCTAAAGTAAAAATGAAAAACAGATGTATTACAATATAAAATAACAAATAAGTGCAAAAATAGTGAAACTAAATTTACAGTGGGCAAAAACACTTCCAATAGTCTATGAACCCTGGTATTTCACTATAACCAGAGGTGCGTCCCTACCTCCCACCAGATACACCTTATGCTCCTTTGCTGCATCTGACAGCATCTGTGTGGATTCTCCTGGGATCCTCTCTGCATATGCAGAGAAGAAGCTGGGTCCATATGGAGAATTGAAGAATTCCTGTATCACAGACAGATAAGAGACCATCACTTTTACAGCACTGAGTTGGGCTCATGCACTGAATGTGGACTCTTTAGGCACTGGCTACACATCTATCCAGTGTTGCCCCTCATTCTTCATTGTGTATCCAACTATGCTAAAGGTAACATCTAGCCCTGGTGGCCTCCCCTACTCTCCCAACTTTAGAGACCCTCCTCCTCACCGGCAGCAGCACCACTTTGCTGCCTTGGTCCGCAGCCTCCTTCACCAGCCTGCGAGCTCTGCTCAGGTTGTCCGCCTTGACACTTGTCACCTGCAGCTGGATCACAGCCAGACGGAACTCTAAAAGCAAAAGACAATGCATTACAGTTGTGATGAGATCTACCTCACAATATTAAAACGTGACAAGAAGGGTCAGGGTTCACGTCCCAGCCGGCCCGGGCCCTTTCTGTGTGGAGTTTCCATGTTCTCCTACACAGCTTAGTGTTATAGGTGGAGCCAGTTGTGTGAGGGCTCAACATCATCACGCAGGGGTGTGTGTGTTTGTTGTTGTTGTGGAGCATTTGGAGCAGAGAGAGAAGTGGCTGGTTCGGCTAGATAAAAAAATAAAGGAAAAGTGAACATCATTACGTCGCCTTTCCTCATTCCCTTCTGCCCCCGTCTTCGCTGAGCGGACCCAGAATTAAGGCTGGTTACAGGCCGGAGAGGCAACCCACATGTACACCAACGGTCACCCAACTACGGTCTGGAGACCCGCAGCAGGGAAGGTAACATTAGGTTGACTGGTGACTCATAGGAGTGAGTGTGTGTTGCTGTCTGTCTCCAAGTGTCAACCCTGTGATAGACTGGCGACCTGTACAGGGTGTGCCCCTCCTCTCGCCCAACGTCTGCTGGGATCAGGGGGGGCCCTGCCTCTCGCCCAACGTCTGCTGGGATCGGCCCCAGCCCTGCACAGGGTGTGCCCCTCCTCTTGCTCAATGTCAGCTGGGATCGGCCCCAGCCCTCCCCAGGGTGCGCCCCTCCTCTTGCCCAATGTCTGCTGGGATCGGCCCCTGCCCCAGCCCGACCCTATTCAGGAATAAGCGGTCTAGATAAAGGAAGGATATTTCTCGTTGAAGTGAAGGCTCAGAACATGACAGAAACAGCAGCAGCCAGCATGGCGGAGTGTGAGCATAGAAGATGACCCCGACACTTTTTATGTTTAGTTTGTGGAAAGGAGTTCAGTTAGAAAGTCATAGTGATCTAATATAGTTTTAAACTTTATTTTAATGTATTCCCTCTCTATTTCTCTCACACAAACACAACCACAGCAAGAGACCGTCAGCCCCCCTCCGTGTTTGTTTCTTAATACAACACTGTCAAGCGCGGATATCCAACTCTTCTACTAGTTTATTAGCAAGCTAACGCTAGCTTAGCTAGCGTTAGAATATAGCCGTTGCCGAGGTCAGCACGCTGTTTACAGCATGGATATACAGTATATGGACCACAAGTGGATAACGCTAGTTTATCAGCTCTGACGCTGTGTGTTTGCCCCCTTGGTCCAGGGGAATGTCGAAAAACACACATGGGAAAGCTTATCATTCCGACCAGTGTGGTTAGCGATTCAACGGATTCGTTTCTTATATTTATTGGTTTCAACCAGCCAGGAAGAGAGAGCTGCTTCTGTGGGAGAGCTAGTGCAGAAGGGACAAGTAGCTGTGGGGATCTGAGGCTTCAGTTAGAAGTTTTAACTGTATGAGCTTCTAGGGTCTGAAGAGACTCGTAAAATCATGCATGAGAGGGGCCAGTAAATGATCGATCAAATCCCAACCACCCATGTATTTTATATTGTAGCCAGAACTTTTTAGTGTGCAGTAGCAACACACTGTAGTCGTTATTATCACACAAAAATGTCCTCGGTTGTTTGTGCATATTAGTTAGTTACACCTCTAGTAAAATGAATACAGAACTTCGTACTTACTGGACATTGCTTTGGCCAGTTTAGACATGTAGACAGCCAGAGAGTACTGTTGGGTTCACAGTTAGAGCAAACACACAGGTCGCGTGTTTCCGGTTGACTCGTTGGTTTTCAAAATAAGACTACATTACGTCTACTGTCGTGAGACGATTATTATTCTTTACCTCAGCGAGGTCCAATAAAGAAAAATACAACAATATAAAACGTTAACACAGTGTTTATAGATACACATGATTGCTTTTCTTATTTAAAATCACTCTTCTACACATGCTTAAGGGTATACAAAGTTCACACCTTTTAATATGAAATGATTATTTGATATTATTTAATGTTTAATGAGGGGTGTTTTTCTGTATTGTTCAAAAAGATTATATCTCCTCATTTGTTAATTGATTCCACAACAAATATTAATAATATACTACACATAATTACCTATTAACCAGTTAATGTGTGACTCTTTATGAAAGCTCTCATGTATGAACCTGAAGCCAAAAACTCGGGGATCGGCTGTGATGTTTCTTGCAAGGAATACTTGTCTTCCTGTCTTTGTCAGAAAGGTCCTAGGTCCCGAACACGGAACCTTCTCGCTGTGAAGCAACGGTGCTAACCACTGCGCCACCGTGCTGCCTACATTATGATACAGTTATGTATAAATCAAAGATCAAAGATTTGTATTGTCAATTCACTATATGTGCAGGACATACAGAAAAATCTAAATACTGTTTCTCTCTCACCTAATATTGAA